AGTAATGCAGGAAAATGAGAGATCATATTTCAGGGAGAGCTGCCCAAGTTCTGATGCTGTCTGCTTTGCTGATTGTTGATTTTATATGTTGTTACTATTTTCGTTGGAAGTCCGAAGTGATTACAACCATATCAATGTGAAGGCTGTCTGTAGCCTTTTTATGTTTGTTGGCATGTAATAGTTGGACTCACTCTTGGATGATTGAGTGCGTGAGTAGGTTAATTTCTGCACTTTTATTCGTGGTTTCATATGCCAAAAAGAAGGAGAATGTGAATGGAAATTCCCCTAAGTTATTTTGGCATATGAACTAATGGTGTCTTAATTTATACAACAAAGACTTTCCAAAAGACAAAAGACATATTTGAGGAAAGATCAAAACATGGAAAGTCACTCCTTCCATTACGGTGCAAAGGAAAATTAATGTGGAATCTTTTATTACAGGAATGTGAGTGATTTACTTAACCGGATAGGGTTGAAGATTGGTGATGAGTGATTTGGAGATCATACTTTAGAAAGAAGAATATTGAGTGAAGTTCTAACTATCTATCCATATCGATTCTCCTTAGTTTTGAATGAGTTTTTGACATAAAAATTCGACGGAGAGGTGGATGTGATCAGAGTTAAAGGAGTTCCAACCGAAGAGGATGATCAAACTCTGAGCGGCTCTGCTATATGGTCGTTGTCAGTACGCGTTTGTGACAACGTGAACCTGTGGAGGTATTTTCCAAGTTAGACCATGATAGGAGTTTGAGTTGAAGGAGTTGTGATTGGTTATACTATGTAGTCAACACTGATTAGTAGAATGTCTCATGGATTGGGATCCCCCCGAATGTAGATTGGTTGATAATCGAACCGGGTCAACAAACACCTTGTCTTATTGTTGTTTTATGTTCTGCATTGTTTTTCGTTGTTGAAACGTAGTTATAACTGTGAACCGCCCAAGCTTCGGGAGTTGACCTTTTAAAGTGTTCGAATGTGTTTTGTTCGATAAATCACTTCCCTAACAATATTAATATTCATTAATATATTTATTATATATGTAAAATAGTTATAATTTAGTAATTCATTGTACACATTACGCTAGAATCAATAAAAACTAACATAATACAGCAACATGACAATAAATAATTGAAGTTTTTGACTTAATTATGTATACGGATCAACATGAACTTGACACGATAATAAACGAGTCGGGTTAGAGTTGAATTATTTAACCCATTTAATGTATTCAACCCGACACTGGAATCGACCCATTGTCAGATTTGGGGAGGACACACACAATACACATTTTTTAAATACATCGAGTGGTAGGGCTACGGACAACATCACACAAGGCGAAGGTTTCAAATAGAATGATTGAGTCTTCACCAGAAATCTCCAAAGATGTGGCACAATTAGACCAAATTATGAAACCTCAAAACCCCGTTCCAAGCAAAGCCGGCGTGCCCAACCAGGTTGTCGTTCCTGTTGAGATATTTTAAATATTCAATTTTATATTTAGTAATTTTAGATATTCTACTAAATCTAAAACTGAATATCTAAAATATCTCATCAGTTCCAAAAACATTCAAGCATCCCGAAAGGTACTCTAGTTCGACTAATAAAATGATGTCCCCAAGTAGTCGGGGAATTCTTGCAAGGAATCCGGCCCCTTGAAGAATTGAGTATGATTTACCCAAAATTGAGAAACTACATAGAAATTTTAGTGTATTTGAGTGTGTTTTTGTTTGTGTTTGTATTGTGGTATTTGATGGATGATCTTCTCTACTATATTCAAGAAATACATGATGAATGTAAAAAATAAAAAGATAAATTATATAAATATATTAAAGTTTGCACAAAATATCTTTTTTCGTCCAAAATTGATATTTTGGTGTACAATCGAATATAATTATGTAAGTTTTATACTATTTTAAAATAGGTAAATATATTAAATATTTTTTTAATAGAATAAATAGATAAATAATTGATTAATTTTTTATTTTATAATTTTTGGAAACAAATTGTTATTTGAGTTTTACAAAAACAAAATGAAGGATTGATAAATTATTATTTTATTTTATTTTATTTAAAAAATATTATTTAAGATTTTTTTATTTCTTTTATTTTTATAAAAAATTTGTATAATTTAGATCAATATTTACAATCAAATATCAATTTTGAAAAAATATAATATTTTATGCAAATTTTAATATAATACAAGGAAGTTTCACCTAATAAATAAAATGGATTGTATTTGTACATTTTTACTAAACTAAAAGAGGATATTCCGCTATTCTGTAATTTACCCAAAACAAAAAAACAAAATAAAACAACAAAAATACATGGTTAATGGCAAGGGTTTTAGGTAATCTTTGGAGTTATGAAAGGTAAAAGTGATATTTCAATAGAGAGTTATAGAGAAGAAAATAAAATTTAGTAATTTTATAGAAGTTTGAAGGAATTTGGAAATTTATGTCCAATTATGTATAATATTCTCTCCGTCTCACTTAATTTGCATGCTCTTTTTATTTTCATTCGTCCCACATAAATTGTTATTTTTTTTTTGAAAATATAATTATACTCTTTAATCACATTTTAAAATTTATAATATATAACTTTTTTAATTTTAATTAAACTATTTAGTTATTTTAATCTTAATCTATTATTATTTTTACTAATATATTTTTTAAATTATTTACTAATTATACAATATTTAAAACTTGGTGCCTCAATTAAGGTGGATAAATTAGCTCGGACCAAGGGAAGGGAGTATAAAACTAAAACGTAAATATTTAATTTAAGTTTTTGAAAATAATAGAATATCTTTCAATTCTCCAATTGCCTTTTTTAAGGTAATATTCTCTTTATTCATGAAATTGTGCTTATTTTATCATTTTAAATATATTCATAGCATTTTTAGTAAAAACATACAACTCATTTTCAATTTTTTATCCATTATTTTTACATTAATTTATACTTTTGTTACTAAAAATTTTACACTCAATCTATATAATATCTTTCTCAACCCTACAAAACTTTTAATTATATCATTACTTTTTCCTCAAAAGCACTATAAAAATAACATTATATAATATTTTTTTTATAATCTCCATATCCAAAAGTTTTGATCACACTTTTGGTAGACGAAGGATTTATAATTTAGACACATGTCGCACTATTTTTCTATTTTTTAAATTGAATATTTTAATAATGTTTTAGAAAACCATAGAAAAAAATAATAAATATTTTGTGTTTGTTTTCTTTATCATTTAAAATTAAAATTACACTATTTAAATACAATTTTTAATAAAAATATATTATTTCATCTCATAAAATATTAAATCAAATTACTATTTAAACAAAAATTTATATCAACAACTTAATTCAAATCGATTTCAAATCACAATCAAACAAATCCCGAATATTCAATGGATTAGCATGGAAGCATGTATTACTATATATATATACTAGAATCTGGTGGCGCGCTACTTCGTGCGGGTAATTTGTAATGTAAAAGCATAAAAAGATTGTAAAAGAACTCGATACATTTTTCCGCCCCATCTTGATCAAGTATAATATATATTCCTAACTTTTTCAAAATGGTAAATCAACAACTTTTCTATTTGTCAGTATGCTTATTATCCCACAATTATTAACTCCTCTAGAGTTCATATGCATCTTATGCCAAATTACTAAAAAATGAGGAATAGTTAGCCAAATGCACAAACTCTTAATGGTACGGTACAAATAATTTACAATTTCACATAATAGTAAAACATAATACACAAGAGTAGAATTGTTTTGTCCCGACATACACTTATAATTTCCAACAAGAGGCTCTGATAGAACAAAGTCAAATACGCTGATAACATTAAAAGAAAGAAAATATGCATCAATGTGTACATATATGTGATCGAAGTAACACTCTTTCAAAATGTTAGCCATGTTTTACCAAAAGCAAGCAAATATATATAAAGAGAAAAACAGAAGAATTTTAAACTAAACTATGGGAATAAGCTATATACCATATTATTGGGTGCACATGAGAGGTATTACAAACTGCATCCATGAATGAACCACCACAACCAACATAAAAGTGAGCAACTTATAGAAAACAATAGAGTTTCTAATCTCCCTGTTTCGCATCTCTTCATTAATGCGGAAATTGGCAAAGTATTCTCACATTTTGAGCATGTTTTTATAGAATCACGGAAAAACGAGGAGACTAAATACCATTCCCTGGTTGAGAAGACCAAAAGAATACCAAATAACCCACATAAGTAAAGAAAAAATAATTTTCTAACTATTGAAATAAGTGGTTCTAATTGACACATCTAAACAGAAATACCTCAATAATGGTGGTTATCTCACTTCTCTTAATCCCATATCTTAACAAGGGTACTATGAATGTTTCCAAATATGAAATCTTCCACGTAACAGCCTTTGATCAACAAAAAGGAAGATAATTCATTCTTGCACCATATATATGAAATTTCAAGTTGGTTAAACCAACTTTTGTAGCTAAATAAGCTGCCATGTGTCCAAAATAAATTCCAAGCCCCTAATGTAACAATAAGTGATTCTCCTTCCGTGAGAAATATATGCAATAGTTGACACTACCAAAAACATGATATTCACCATGGGTTCAGGTTCGTAACAATAACATCATAACAAATGGTTGTTTTAGTTACGATATAATACGTAACAAAATCTTTTCACCCCCGGTCAACGTTTCAGGTTCACTAATTACGCAATTTTTTCCGTAACAATTTCAAAGATGGTAAACTTTGATAAAAATAACATTAGTTACGATACTTTTCGTAACTGCTTCCATTTAATTTTTTTGAATTTAATCGAATAAGTAAATAATAAATAAAATTTAAAAGAATACAAATTAAAAAAACTAGTAAAAGTGCTATCACACTTTCACCAAAAAAAAAAAAAAAAGGACTTACATTTTTCATAACAGTTATAAGGTCCAACACATTCCAACTTAGGGCACATCATTTCCCCCTCTCCCAATCGATTGATGGTGGGATCAAGCATCTACTTTGGCACCGGCGTCCAGGTAAGGATTTTAAGTTTTCCCCAGTAGGATTTGGTGTCGATCCACGATTTTTCATCTCATTGTCTGAACGAAGAAATCGATTTGGGCAATATTAGTATTCAACTTCTTCCTCAGGGAGCATCCGCATTGGTGAGTACCTTTGGGTATGGTACGATTGTTTCTTCATTGTTAGAGTTTCTGTATAGGGCAAGCTATTGAGCTTGATTTCATAATTTCGCTTGGGTAAACATCGTTCCTTCGTGATATCTTGTGAAACTCTCATATTTCAAAACTTCTTAGGGTGATTTGAACAATCTTTAATTACTACGAGTTTTCATATCTGAAATCTATATGATGGGCTACCCTTTGATTTGCAATTTTTCTTTTTTTTTTTTTTTTTTAATTCTAAACTTTAGTTGAGATTATCACTAAAATTATTCTTCCTATTAGTTTCATCAATTTTTCTTATATAAGAATAGTAGACGACACTAGACTATGAGATGAAGAAAATATATGCAATATTTCTCTTTACATAGGTTATTCTATATTTGGGTAAGTATGACATATAGTATAAGAATGATTGACTTATTGGCGTTGATTTGAGAGATGCTCAATTGGGAAATAGGTAGCATACTAATTTGATGTGGAGATTCATAACTAAGCCATGCGATTCAAGTTCGTAGAAGTGAAAATCTAATTTCAGATATCCGTGTTTGGCTTTTCTTGGTAGTCGTCGGAGGACGATTTTGGCTTGTTGCTTGTTTGATTAATCAAATTTCAGAAATTTGTGTTTGGCTTTTCTTGATAATTTTAGTTTTAATGTTTACAGGATATACAAAAATTTATAATAATAATAATAATATGCAATAGCAGGGTACAAACATATATTAGAAAAAAAAAATTAAACAATGGAATTCAACAATCGACAAAACCTTCTTTTTGTGAATTAATTAAGAGTATGAATGCAACCTGCACCTGGTCTTTACTTGTTTGTATGGAGGAGGGTGTTTTGTGTGTATGTGTGTATTTTCAAGGATTCAAGAAACACAATTCAAATACGTAATTGTTTGTGTGTATTAGTTACATTGTTGTTGTTTCAAATATTACTTGTTCTTTTACATTTATTAAAAAAAAAAAGAAAGAAAAAGGTATATATTAGACATGACACATTCACACACTTGACATTATTATTCGACTATTTGGAATTGTGTGTTTTGTTATATATACCAAAATGAATGCAAAACAGACACCTTTGTTGGTAGATTAACTTTTTAAGAAATCTGAAAATTACTGCTTTATTCCAGCCTATGGCTCAAATCTTATCTCAATCCCCCATTTCTCCTCCATCCCAATACATACATATATATATATATTAATATCATATCTTCCCTTCCCAATCTTCCCTCATCAATGTTATTCATAATCTAATCCCCTAATTATTTCATCATCAATGCTTATTGATTCCTTAGACTTATTTAAGCCCTTAAATCTCTCTAAGGTAATAAAGAAAGCAATTAAGGTTTTAGGATTATTCAGCTCCTAAATTAAGTTCGTTGGCATCGGCGGTACACTAGCAAACAACAGGATTCTCCTCCTTGCAGACCTTTTTACTTCTTGTTATCTATCATTTGTACATAAAATATTTTGTCCGTACTATAGTTGCTATAGTAGATTGAGATGGACAAATCTGCAGACATTTTGAAATAAAGTCCCGGTTCGAATTACAATACTCCATGGATAACTCCTATCCCTTGTCTATCATTTATTCTCTTGGTGTTAATATATTTATATTATTTTAATTAATTATAGCTAACCGAGGAATTTTTAGATGCCCATGCTTATATTAGAAGAAAAAGAAAAGTTAACAGAAGAAGAAAAGAACAATTATTCATAGTTCGCAAATAATTGTTGCAAAATATGATAATTGTTCTTTTCATCAATTAAATGCATTTTGTAGGAAACTTTGACATTACTAACAATAGAAGAAAATGAAGAGAATTGGTTCTTTGTATTCTCCCTAAATGTATAAGTGATGGTCTTTGTATATGGCCAGATTAACTCATACTACTCTTCTTTGTATACATAATTATCATACTAATTCTGATAGACCTGCATAATATTAGTATATATATATATATATCTAATTCAATCCCATAAAGAGACAGTGCAGATTGTGAATTTTTTGCAGCAACCATGGTAGAAGAAACTCAATGTAACTATTTTATGTTTCTGTCCAAGAGGTGAGATCTTCTTTACTTAATCAAACCTAACTCAACTGATCTTTTTTTTTTGATTTTTCTACTAAAAAATTCAAGAATCGTTAATAGAGACTCAAGATTCATTAATAATCCCTGCCTGAAGATTAAATAGTATGTATTGACTATATATTTGATTAATTTGCTTCTTAGATAAGAATATTTCTTTGAAGATCTTAGTTTTAATTTGGTTTATTGTATTCTTCATAAATGTGTGAGTAAAATTTTGTGTATACTGTGTATTTTAAGGATATACATACATGTGCTATTGTTATTTGTATGTTATTATAAGCCTGAATTGGTGGACAATACCAATAATGTAATTGATGGTTAATGCATATTTGTAATCGTATGAATTTATTACTTATTGAAATTATTTTTATAATGTTGTACATGATCTGCTGATTTGCTTAGGTTTTATTAGTGGATGACTGGTTTATAGTTCGATTTGCAATCACATAGGGAATTAGAATGTAGTGTGTTTTGGTGCCTAATTCGTGGGTCGAATACCATGTATTGCAGTACATGTCCGAATGTACATACTCGAGGTGTATAAGTTGTGAAGTTTACACTTCAAATGTGTTATGGCATTTTATGTATACAGTTTGAATGTGTGTTGATATATATGGTGAACTACATACTCACAAATTGCACTTTTGAATGTTGTAGGTGACACATTTTCCCTTGTCAAGGTCTTCATGACATTCGCCTCAGTCCCAGACACACCCCTTATTTTTCCGACCATTTTCTGGGGCAACTACCATTTGCGATGTTTTCGGTGAAGATCATATTGAATGGAACTACAAGGACGTACAGATCTACTTTCATACCTTTAATGTATTGACTTCCAACTTAATATAAGTCAAACTGAACCTCTTTTTGTTGGCAATTTCAGCTCATACACCACCCTTGAAGCATATCAACCGATTCCTTAACATTCTGCTCCCGTTTGCCTTATGGATTACATGACGTATATGTGTTTGTATGGTAGGTTGTTATGGCTATGTGAGCTATCTATGTTTTGCTCCCATTTGCCTTATGGTCCGTATTTTTTTTATTAGGTGAGTTATGTCTAAAGTTCTTCATTGTCTTCAAGCTACCTATGTGAAACCCTTACGCTGTTTGAGTTTATTGGGTCTGCGCATATTCAGTTTGACATACGTGATAGTTAGAATACTATGTATACATAGGCTGTTAATGTAGGTCCAGTGGCTATATTGGTATTATGCCAATTCTGTGCTGATCTTATATTTTTTATCGTTCACATGATATTGTTTATGGCTATGCTCCTATTACACTATTTAGGTGCACATTGCAGTGCCAAAACTGATAAATGTTGGCCTTATTATTGAGTATCTTGTAGTTCCGAGCTGCCTACAACAACTACTTATGTGATGAGGATCACTAACATATAATTTGATTTATTAGTCGACAGTACTCTCAACTTGAACTCATCAGCGGGTGTTAGCTCATATTTAATGCATAAATGGTAATTAATCTCCATGGGACATGATAATACGACACATACATGGAGTAGTCCCATTTGGGGGTAACCATATGGATTTATTACTTATTGGAATAATTATTTTAATGTTGTACATAATCTGCTGCTTTACTTAGGTTTTATTAGTGGATGAGTTGTTTACAGTTCGAGTTGCAATCGCACATGAAATTAGAAAGTAGTGTTTTTTGGTGCCTAATTCATTGGGTTGAATACCATGTATTGTAGTACATGTCTGAATGTACATACTCATGCTGTATGAGTTGGGAATTTTACACTTCAAATGTGTTATGACATGTTATATATACAGTTTGATTGTGTATTGATATATACGGTGAACTACATACTCAACAATTGTACTTGTGAATGGTATAGGTGACACATTTTTCCTTGTCAAGGTCTTCGTTACATTCGCCTCAGTCCCGGACACACCACTTATTTTTCCGACAACTGCTGGGGCGACTACCATTTGCGACGTTGTCGGTGAAGATCCTATTGATTGGAACTACAAGGATGTTCGGATATACTTTCATACCTATTATTGAATTCCAAAACTTAAAAGAAATATTACATAAACTAAACCTCATTCTGTTGGTAATTGTAGCTCATGCGCCACCCCTGAAGCATATCAACCGATTCCTTAATGTTTTTCCTCCGTTTGCCTTATGGATTGGATGTTGAAGATGTGTTTGGATGGTAGGTTGTTACGGCTATGTGAAATACCTATGGAATAGATGCATAGACATTTGGAGTTATCTTTTGTGTGGTGAGAATTGTGCTATAGATTGATGGATTTCCCCACTTGCTTATTACTAGGTTGGATGTTTAAAATGCTTGCGTTTTGTGGAACATAATTTCGTAGTGGAGTTGTTGCTAGGCTTGTTTGATGGGTCACTTTATTTTGTTGTTTGGTGGTGGACATCGACTAGTAAATATTGTTATTTTAATATCCTATGTTGCGATTACCTTATAGTATTTGTTGTTTGCAATTATGGCCAATCGTTATATTTATAGCATGGTTGTATACAAAATTTCCTTTGGTGTAAGAAAGATCACAACAGGTTAATTTGTTACGCCCAATTTCAATTGTCCACAACTACTATTTTTTATGAGACGCTATTTTTTCGTAACAAAAGGAAGAAATGACGCAACAAAATGTTGTTTTGGATGTTTGTTGTTATGACCGGTTCTGTGACTATAAGAATGGATAGTTTTGTTAAGGGTTCAATGACATAACAAAAAAATAAAATGACGTAACAAAAAATGAAATGATGTAACAAAAAGTGGTTTTTGGACGTAACAAATATGAAGGGATAATTTTGTTACGGCCGGTTTTGTGACCATAAGAAAATGTATTGTTTATTACGGCTTAAATGACGTAACAAAAAATTGTAACAAAAAGCGTACTCTGACAAGCGGTCATAGTAAATTTTTTGGTAATGTGAAGAACTTTTGTAACAAATATCGTGACTAAAAGTCCTGGCACACGTGTGGGAAGCTCGACTTTTTATTACGAGAGAATATTTGTAACAAATATAATAACAAAAACTTTGCCATAAGGAACGTTGACCGAGAGTAGTAGGTACGAAAATGTGCGTGGAAAAAAATATTCGTTACGCGTGTAGAAAATACGCAAATTACACAAAAATTGGCTTTTTGTTACGAATTTCCGGCCGTACTAGAACACTGTTTTTTTGGTAGCATGAGATGATAGTAAGGAGGCCTTCACACAACACACAACCACAATTCACATATTAAAGCACATGCATGAAACATATGTAGAATTTTTTGAAATAATGTAACAACAACCACACCATGACTAAGCATCCATATCGAGATAAAGGCCTTGGAAAACCCTGCATCATCATGTTGAAAAGAAGAAAAGGCCATATTAGATCTTCCAATCAACTAACTAAATCAATTCACTTGTACACACTACAGAACATCATGAATGATCTTACTGTCAATTTTAAATTAAGAATGCCCATCAGTTGATGAGTCATTCCTAATCCATGTGGATGAGTCAGATAGCTATGGGAAAGAAACAAAGTACTTGTTCTGTTACCACTATCTTTTTTACCAGATTGTGATACCAAGCCAAGTCCTACGAAGAGGACCGCACAAATAACATAATATATCGGAATACAATTAGAGAAATAAAAAATGGAATTTGAGCTCTTTCCTTGTCTCTGACAGAAAACGGAAAGGAATATTAGCATAATCAAACAACTAGCTGATGTGGCCCAATATTTGCAGTTTGAGACATTCAAGCTTTGCAGAAGGAAAAATTAAAATCATATCAAAACATATAAAATATTAGAACATAAAAAAATATGCAATGCATTAATTTAGATGTTACATGAGCTTAACAAAAATTGAACATACAACACCAATAGAATGCTCTTGAACATACAACACCGATAAAATGCTCTCTAACTGTTGCAATAAATCAACTATTTATCATAAGCGGTCATAGTAAATTTTTTGGTAATGTGAAGAACTTTTGTAACAAATATCGTGACTAAAAGTCCTGGCACACGTGTGGGAAGCTCGACTTTTTATTACGAGAGAATATTTGTAACAAATATAATAACAAAAACTTTGCCATAAGGAACGTTGACCGAGAGTAGTAGGTACAAAAATGTGCGTGGAAAAAAATATTCGTTACGCGTGTAGAAAATACGCAAATTACACAAAAATTGGCTTTTTGTTACGAATTTCCGGCCGTACTAGAACACTGTTTTTTTGGTAGCATGAGATGATAGTAAGGAGGCCTTCACACAACACACAAAACCACAATTCACACATTGAAGCACATGCATGAAACATATGTAGAATTTTTTGAAATAATGTAACAACAACCACACCATGACTAAGCATCCATATCGAGATAAAGGCCTTGGAAAACCCTGCATCATCATGTTGAAAAGAAGAAAAGGCCATATTAGATCTTCCAATCAACTAACTAAATCAATTCACTTGTACACACTACAGAACATCATGAATGATCTTACTGTCAAATTTAAATTAAGAATGCCCATCAGTTGATGAGTCATTCCTAATCCATGTGGATGAGTCAGATAGCTATGGAAAAGAAACAAAGTACTTGTTCTGTTACCACTATCTTTTTTACCAGATTGTGATACCAAGCCAAGTCCTACGAAGAGGATCGCACAAATAACATAATATATCGGAATACAATTAGAGAAATAAAAAATGGAATTTGAGCTCTTTCCTTGTCTCTGACAGAAAACGGAAAGGAATATTAGCATAATCAAACAACTAGCTGATGTGGCCCAATATTTGCAGTTTGAGACATTCAAGCTTTGCAGAAGGAAAAATTAAAATCATATCAAAACATATAAAATATTAGAACATAAAAAAATATGCAATGCATTAATTTAGATGTTACATGAGCTTAACAAAAATTGAACATACAACACCAATAGAATGCTCTTGAACATACAACACCGATAAAATGCTCTCTAACTGTTGCAATAAATCAACTATTTATCATAAAACAACATCATGAAATAATAAATGGGATAACATAAGGAAGCCTAGCATTTTAAAGGGACAATTAGAATTAACAAGCTCATTTGCTAATTTTGTTCAGGATATACTTTTTCATATCTCCTATTCCAGAATTGTGGAAAAGGTTAAAATACTGTGTAAACAATGACTGTACCAACTTTCTTTATGCAAATAAGCCATATGCTTTTATATTGGTAAATTCATAGAGGATTCAAGTTTTTGCTCAATCTTCCAAACATTTTGAAGAGAAAACAACATGATCAAGTAAGATTTTCCTTCCCAAACTACTCGAGTACATTTCATAACACTGTACACCCATGAACATATCTATATTTCCTCTTAATGGCATGATAGAAAGAGTGTTGAACTATGCATAAGAAGCACGGTAAGGAACAAATCATTAAAATCAGGATATGTTTCCTCTATAATATATAAATAAATGATATTAATTATATAGCACTTTATGAGATTATACTTTGTGCTCAGGAGTGATAATTACAGTGCTTTTCGTGTATATTAAATAGTGCTTTAAGGGAATACAGTTCGTGCTTTTGTTTATTGACTGCGTTTTCTCTTTATTATAATGTACTTTATGGGATTTATATTTTGTGCTCTATAGTTCTTATTACAGTGTTATTCGTACTTGTTACATGGTGTTTTAAGGTAATATAAATAGCAATTTTGTTTCTTAACTGTTTTTCCTTTTAATTGTATAACACTTTATGAGATTATACTTTGTGCTCTAGAGCTAAAATTAGAATGCTTTTTTTTGTGTATGTTAGATAGTGATTTAAGGGAATACAATTAGTACTTTTGTTTCTTGACTGCCTTTTCTTTTTATTATATTGTACTTTATGGGATTTATTTTCTGTGCTCTATAGTTCTTATTATAGTGTTTTTCGTATTTGTTACATTGTGTTTTAAAGTAATATGAATAGCGCTTTTTTCTTAATTGTTTTTCCTTTTACTTGTATAGAACTTTATTAGATTATACTTTGTTCTCCAGATTTATAATTACAGTGCTTTTCGTGTATATTAAATAGTGCTTTAAGGGAATACAGTTAGTGCTTTTGTTTCTTG